GAGTTACTACAGAAAATGTAGTGGGAAGAGCTCTGGTGAGCTGGCATTAGGGCTGCAGGCCTGGCACACAGAAGGTGCACATTTTATTTTCTTGTAGGAATGAATGGCTAAATCTCCTAACCGTCCATCTTCACAAAAACAATGTGTGGTTGCACAACAATTATTATTCCCATTTTACAAATGGGAAGAGACCCAGAGGGGGTAAATGACTTGTCCAAGATTGCAAAGTAATTTGGAAGTGTGGAATCTAGCACTTGGCAGTTACAAGGACCTTTTTTAAACCCAGTTTCTTTTTATTCCTTCCAACATCTTTGTAGGGTAAAATAACCATGTACAGGTGAGGAAACCCAGTTCTGAGATAAGCTACCTGCCCAAGGCCAAGACTTGGCATGACCAAGACCAGACTTGCAGCATGCGAGGGGACGGGGCGCTGGGCCCTGCGCTGCCAACACTTCCCAGCAACCCCGCGGGCCCAAGTACCTTGTTGGCCAACTTCTTGTTCAGCTCCTCGGCAATGGAGTCGTTGAGCTTCCTCTCAAACTGCCACGGGGGGGTCCTTACGGTATCAACCATCTCCACCAAGACGAACATCCTGGCCTGCGCCGGGGGCTCTGGGAACGGGACTGTCAATCACGCATCGGGGCCTGGAACGGTGGGGATCCCCAAACTCCCTCCATCCTGTCCCAATCGCTGAGCCCCACCCCTCTCATCATCAGGCTGCCAATGGGGCTGCGCGGTAGGGCCTGGAGTGCCCCGTGAGGAGCATGCTCCGCTACTGCAAAGGGGGAATACTGAGGCTCAGCGGGAAGGGAATCTCAGACCAGATGAAAATGAACGCGCCCGCGCCGCACGGCCCTGCTCCGCCCTCCACGCGCCACGCACCTCGCTCCGCGTACCGCCCCCACGGACCCCGCACGCACAGGCATCCGGCGGTCGCAGGACTTTAGGCGAGATTCCGAATCCCGTCGCTTCCGGAGAACCGACCAATAAGAAGCCTTCTCCCGCCCCCCGAGGTGAGACGGCACTGTCTACTGGTTCTTTCGCGGATGGGGCGGAGCTTCTCCCTCCCCTCGCAGAGCCGTCAATCCTCGGACAACGCTTGCTGGTTACTAGGCGACCTCTATGAAACTGGTCCAATCTCTCGCCTGGCCTGTGCCATAATCTCCTTGCCGTTCTCAAACCGTTCTCAAGCCGTCCTCTGCACCGCAGCCAGAGTGATATCTTAAAAACGCAAACACAATATAGTACTTAGACCCTTCAGTACTCTGGAGATGGGACGAATTGACTGAAAAGTGGCAGGCAGGACCGCTCTGGGGTGATAGAAATGTTCGGTATCTTCTTTCAGGCAGTGGTTACACAGAGGTAGACAATTGTCAAAACTCACTGAACTCGACGCTTAGGATCTTTGCATTTACTTGTAGGCAGATTACATCTCAATTGAAAAATGATAATAAATTGGTACCAACCCCGCCCCCCAGCCAAAAAAAACCCCACCTCAGTAGCTTCCCGTTAGACTAACAATAAAGTCCAAAACTTTTATGGTAGCTCAGAAGGCCCTGTGGGATCTTGCTCCTACCCACATCTCCACGTTCTCTCTCTCTACCGTATAAAGATTCACCTTTATACGGTAGCTAAGACAGCCTTGGGCTAAGAGAATTTAGTAATTTAAGATCATGTGCTGCTAAGTCTAAACCTCTCGCAACACTGCCTCTAAAAGTCGATGGGTTTTGGAAATATACTGCAGTGCGTTTTAACCAAATAAAAATTTGAGAATTTAAAAAGAGCCTTGGGGTAGATGACAGAGGCACTCAGAAAGGCATGGGCCTTTAATTTGCTGGTTTAATATGTATGGAGAGCTCTCTACGAGACTGGCTGCAGTGATACTGAATTCGACCTTCCCTGCGTCCATATATTTATTTATAGGTCTGTGCGCCTCTCCTAGGATTTGAACTACTTGAAGACAGGGAAA